CGAAAATTATTCAGTGCATAATTATTAATTGGCTACTGTTTTATATATATTATTATTAATTTAAATAGTTTAGAATCTTCTTATACTCATATTCATATGAACTTGCAAAATATTTTAATCTCTACTCCCATTTAATTTGTTGCTTTCCCTTTGTTACGAGAATACTACCCTCCTAGAATATATTCTAGTCGATACTTGGACAAGAATATATATATATATAATCCTAATGCCCTGTAAGAATAATCCTGTCTGCCTATATGTAAAATCTGAATATTATAGAACACATGATGTATCTCTACGTTTATACATGTTTTCTGTTCTCCTGTTTCCATGGCTAAAATACCATTTCTATCAGGGATTGAATTGGTGTTGAATTTATATGTGTAAAGTAGATAATCTTGTAAGTGTTAAGTGTAAAATACAAAAATATTCTGATTTAACTCTTACCCGAGACGTACACGGATTAAATCAAGTAGATGTACACTTGACTCAATGATGTAAACAAAGAGATCACTAATCAAATTGAATGTACTCAGTTTCTCTATTTTTCACGCTTCTCCATAACTTCTGTGCTGATCTGAATGTGAAAAATCAATTATAATTATTACTTGAAAACATATCTAAATTTGAATTTTATCAAAACATATTGAGAGCGCAATATCGTCTGTGTTTATATTCATTTATTAATTGCAAATATTACATTTTATGAAATTGATAATCAAAAAATGTTATATTTATAAATAATTGCTCGTTATTAATACTTTCATTTGTAGCTTATCTTTTCATTGGATTAAAAATAGAACTATTTTGGTAAATCTTGATGTAGTGCAAAAATATAATAAAGTTACGCCATTCTTATAGAAATTACGAAATTTTCAAGCTTAAATATCTGCGTTCATCATAATATTGTGTATAATTGTTGCTGTTTGAGGTACTTTGATTTAGCATCACACTGGATTGAGTGAGAATTGACCGAGCAAAATCAAACTTTCTTTGTATTCACATATATATAAAGTTACCTCTTGACTGGCTTCCATACGGCTTTGAAAAAAGATCTGGCTTTATTTGATGTTTTTCTCTTATTATCAGCACACACAACATTATATCCAATGGTGTTCGGATTTTCCATGTATCCTTCGTGCTTGCTGAAGCCTTCATTCATTCTGATGTTCGTTGGACGACCCATAATGTCATCATTCAAATCATGGTCGTCCTGATCTTCAACCAATCGCTGACTAAAAGTAGAAAGAAAATATTTAAATGCAGTAAATATTTATAAAACTTATAGAGAAATTATAATACATTATTTCAGTAACATTTTATTTTATTTTTTTTTTAATTTTTCATGAAATAAACAAATTATCGCTTAAATGTCTCTAAATTAATTAATTACGTTATGGCAACGCAACATATAGACAAAATGCCTAGGGGAAATGCCTTCTGATTCAGGATTAAAGTTTCGATGGCTTCTGACGTTATTAACGTTATTACTATTTTGTGGACGTGTAGGGCCTCCTCTAATTCAAATTCAAAGTTATGTTCAGAACTCTTTACTGTATGTAATTCTTATCTGAGATTTTTAGTTTAATGCCGATCTCAGGGGTTGACAGTGGCGCTTTATCCAACTTTGAATATATAACTTATAGAAAATGCATATGTCGCTTAACGATGTACTCAATAACACTACGACAGAGGTTCATAGTTTTTATCGGAGCCGAAAAACACGTAGACGCTCGTTCCTTTTCTACGTGTAGATAAATACAGATAGATATATAAATAATTATTATCATTGTGTTTCATATATGAAGTGACTATATATTCTTTACCTAAACAAGGAGAGTTCTGAAGAACGAGAGAAAAATGTGTCTAATAATGCCTAAACTTAATTTTAAAAATCTTGTACTGAGTTGCTTAACTTTCTTGGTAAGATTTGGTGGCTCCATACGCTACAATATTTTACTTAAAAACTTTTAATATTTTTAACTTTAATAAAATAATGAAAACCCTTAATTTTGAGGGCAGGGTTCAGTTTTATAAAAGGTTTTCAAAGAGTAAAATCGTCGTTAGGTCTGACCCTACTTGAGATAAGACAAATCACTCCTTTTATTTTTTCACCCCTCGACCTATCACTACCAAAATTTAACATCATCGATCCTTCTAATACACAAAGAGTTATTACGCTTCAAAGAAGATGAACAAAATCGTGCCTTGAAATACATACACACACACATCCATCTATACATGCATAAAAAGTTGCGATTGTTGTTGAATTTCTGGACTTTCAAGATCCTCAGGTTCTTGTAAAATTCATGATATGTAAAAGTGTTAGGAATTATTCTTTGACCGATCGCCGTAGTTTCCTTCTATTATATACAACAGAGCCGAAAAAGTATAAATAATTTAGTGACTATAAATTTGTCACATTGAATTACAAATAACATTAAGGAATTCTATTTATATTTTTGATGTCTAAAAACAAGAGAAAATTGAGACGTGTGTTCATCCTGCACATATAATTCATACGAATGGTAAAATATAATATATAAATTAACGTAAGTGATTTCAGATTCATTTACTTAAACATCACTTATTCGTTAAACGAATTACTAACTCTTCATCCCACTGAGTAATTATCCATCTCACACAATTTCACTCCGCAACTGTTATAGACATATTAAAATACAAGCTTAAAAAGGTAACGTCTGCTCAGAAGAAACGTTGGCCCGAAATGCTCGATTGTAGTATAATAGCATATAAGATTACGTTACAGTAACAAGTCCAAAGTGGACTCTCACTTTAAACGTGTTATAATGACACAAAAATGTCTAAAGTGAATAAATGTATAATATAAATAATGAAAAACAAGAAGCACGTATTAACATATTTTATAACTATATTTCATATAAACAGTAATATAAGTTACCTGTTAAAGCGATCGCGACAAATCTCGTAAAATGGCCGAATCTTTTCTTTTGCTTGTTTATATGCAGGATTAATCTGGTTTTTGAAGATGGACGTCCCAAATTTAATATTTGCGGGTTCATCCTGCTCCAATAGGCCTTTTTTATTGCCTCGGTATTTGAAGTGATCCAAATTTTTTGGATGCACGAATCCCGCACGTCCATCAGATGTTGCCCTGAAAATGGAAGGAGAAAATTCATATAACACAATAAATGTTTAATACCGAAACTTTTATTCTAATTTTAAAATCGAATATACAACTAATGAGCACTTATGTAAACTTTTAGAAAAATTATTACACTCTAAAAAACTTTGCATTTAATGTCTAACAAAATTTTTTTATCAAACTGTTAGCTAAACAAAGCATCATTTAATAAACTCATGAAATTTCATTAATTTGAGAGAACGAAAGAAGTTTTTACGTATTAAGCTTAACTGTTCAATAAGTATCTTATTATAAAACAACATATAATAAAATTTAACAACTTATAAATTATATATCTATTAACTGATAATTTAATTAATAACTTATGACAATAGATCAATAAATTCATCTATTACGTGTAGTGAATTGAAAAGGCTACAGATGAAAAACAACTCTATTAAATTAGGTTCATAGAGTAAGAAACGTATTCTGTTTCCTTTTTTAAGTAACGGTAAATGTAAAAATCCCTAAGATGTATTTACTTAGTACAAGACCCTAAACTCTGAGCAGTTAAACTCACATGCAAATCCACCCTTTTAATTTCAACACCAATATGATTACAGGATACAGCAAAACACTAAAATGTTTGCTTAAAAACTACATTCAGAAATATCGAAGAGTCGAAATCTTTAAATCAATTTAAATTAGTTATCATTTACACAGAGCAATTTCATTTTAAAGCCATTAGTTTTTCGAATAAATTTCTTATTTGCATAAATAACTACAAAATGTGAAAAATCTCTTACTCGAAAGGTTCAGGCAAGGGATGATAATTGAAAGAATCGAAAAACATTTTTTAATAACTTGAATATCGCACTCTCGACAATAGAAGAGCCAAACAATGAAAGATCAATTGTTGAGTTTCTTTGTTACACGTTAATTGAAGAAAAGAAAAATTTTAATGATTAATTTGTAAATTTATTTTCTATTTTTTATTTTTTAATTATTTCCTGTGTAATAAAGGGTAATGGTTATGGCAGTAAAGGTCTTGGCCCATCTCTCTGGAGAAATTAGAATGGAATCCGGGCAAGCAACTTTCCAAGAATTTTAATGAAAGATCTATCTTAGATACGTTGAGCCCAGTCCCTCATCATTGTAAATTGAAACATACCTATTATTATGGGCATGGTTCAACCCACAATGAACAGGATTGATAGTATTTTAGAGCTGCCAACCTGTGTCTGAGTGGAAAAAGTACTGAATTTTTGTAGCTTTTCGTCAGTTTGCGCCTCGCCGACAGGCTGACAACGTAGAACTTTTCGAGTTTTCTTCACGTTTGTAACACCTAAATAGGAATCAGTTATCCATTTAAACTTCTCCCGAGTGGCACTTCTCTTCAGTGTCGTGTTGACATATACAACTAATGTAAAGCTTTTCAATTATCATATGGCAAAAAAATAATATTATTAATGTCAATAACTATATTTGACTCGCCATCTGTGCAATAGAATTACAGTATGCAGTGTTGCTGTTGATGGCATTTTATTAATATATTATTGTACAATAAATGATTAAAATTACCGCAATATTTCAACTATATTAAGGCAAATAAGAATTTTACAGGGTTTAGTCGCATTTGTATGTTTTTTCATTCACTACTCGTCTAAATATAAAAAAATTACTTGTCCTTGCTGACTGACTAAATCACTGCTTCATCATGGTTCAAAGCAAACCGCTAAACATAAAAAGGTAAAATTTGGTACTCAGTTAAATTACGTCATGAAAACGCACAATAAGAAGGTATTTTTTGGAATTCTTTTGCGGTGGGGAGAGGGAAAGCATTAAGGCTTAACCTAAAGAGCGGCATCCAATGTCCTATTTTAGATGCGATTTTTTGTTTTCTACTACGTATAGTTTTCATTGAGCACTTAGGTGTATTAAATTGATAACATTTCAGACATTGTTACAAATATTTATACGTTTCGATTTTTTAAACAAATGTGCGAACTGTTTTAAATTCAAATTTGTTATTGCATATTGGTTCGATTATAGAATAATTGTAAACGTTCCACAAAATTGATTAAATTGAAAATTGTTCGTTTGATTTTCAGCGGTAAGTGTTATATAACAATTACTATGGTTTTTGAAATACTGAATATAAATGAGGTTTGCTTTGAAAATCCCCGCAGGCGAAATCGTAAGTAACAGCTAGTTCTGTTTATAAAGAACAAAGCTATATTTGCCAGCACGTCAATATCGGCTCTCGTTTCTCTTCAAAATCATATGCGTTTATACGGTTCTTACTTATTTCGCTTCCTATCTAGAAAATGCTACGAAATAGTACACAATGACTTGCCTCATTTATAATTTGTTACCAATAACATTACTTATTTACTTCTGTAATATAAACTGTTTTCTGAACTAATTTGTAACGTATTCGTTACATTATTCTGTACATAGAACATCTTTTTACGGTATATTACTCTATTAAAAATTTGTATTATATATTTTTATTCATTATAGTATTAAACCGTATACAAAAGAAAACCTACAATGTCAATGGACATTAAATCACAGTAATATTACTGAAATCAGAATAATAATAGTTTGTCATAGATTTATTGAAAAGTTTTCTTTAATTTCAGAAATTTGTTGCTTTTATCATGCTGAGTGTGGTGGTTTTCGTAAAAGGTATAGTTTTATTCTGGTACGTCATTAGCGAATTCGAAAACTTAATCTTTAGTGAAGAAATCTATGTGCTAATTTACGAAATATTTGCATGAATAATTGTAAACACCGTTATATTGTTGAAATTTATATTTGTTTTTTTTTTAAATTTTTTCCACAAAATGATTCAGCAGAGTGTAAACTGTTGCAGTTGTATTGTTGACAGTTATACCAATCAAGTCACAACCATCCCGTAGTTTTCTCACGTTATTAATAGTATACGAGTTTACACAGTGACACGTTATTTTATACAATAAGTAGGTTTACTTGAATGTATTGCATAAAGATATATTTACAATCAATAAAAGAAGACTATCTATGAAAAACAATTTCTTTAATGGAGTTAGACACGTGAACATAACTAGGAAAACTGAAAGTGGTCCTATTAGTGACGTTCGAACCCATGACTAACTATAAGTGTCAACATTATTAACCATTCGACTACTGTTGGATCTTATAGAAAAAAGTCAAATAGGCTTGATACTAAAGTAGGATTCAGTCTGTATACCTATTTGAAAAGTAGGCCTTTGGCTCTTTTTCGGGAAATGTATGGTATATATAGATATGTTAAATATTAGACAAAAGAAAATTAGCCCATCTGTTATCGAGTGAATAAAACTTTTGAGCATTTGTCGTAGATTTGCAGCTAAACAACGGGCTGACCACGTAAAATGTTTCGAAATTTCTTCATATTTGTGACACTTACGAAGCAATTATTCATTGTGATATTCTTACAATGCCTGGCTGCGATTTTAATCAAATTTATTAAAATTATATAATTAAAAATATATGCTCTCCATCTCAAAATTGTTTTGTCTTGCTTTTGTCTATCATACTTTCCTACAAGCAGTAGAGTCGTGCCGATAATCTGTCTAACTTGCTTCAGGAAAAATGCTGGAATGTACAATAAGCTGTGAATTGTTGTATTATTAAGTACGGTGATTCTTTTGTGTGTACTTTATCAAAATTCAGTTATTTAATACGGCCAATCCAATATATTTTAAATTGTAGAGATTCTACTTTATTTCTAATATAATTTCAATATTAAATCTTATTTAAAATAATTTTATTAAAGTGTATTCTACGATTTGTTTACCTTGTTAAGTAAATTATATTTTAAACTTACTAGTCAAGAAGAAGTACAGAGAAGAGTTTTTTGGATATTTGTCCAGTTAAGAGTTACAGGATCTCTGTAGTGAATATGTTTATGCTCAAAACAATTTTAATAATTTCTGTATGCCATATATTTACAGAAACGAGTAACTAAACAATAACTTTTTAAAATAAAAAACTTTTTTATTATAATGATAATTTTTACGTGTATGAATTCATATTTAGTTTGCGAATTATACTTCATTTCAATTTTACTTTTGCAACTGTAATATATAACAGAGGGAAAGTATGGCAAATGGTCAAAAAATGACTCACGAAGATTTTCAACATTTTTAGAATCAAAGCACCTTGAAACGTCAAGGAATGAAATACAATTCAGGCGTAACTTTTGTATGTATGAATGTAAGTGTGTGGAAAGAGAACAGTTTTGTTTACCCTATTTAAAACCCAATAAGTTCGTGTTTTTTGTCGAACATTTTTGAATTTTAGCAACCAGGTTTGATTATTTGTGGAATGGATCCTGTTAAATTTTTGTGATTAAAGGTCAAGGAATGTAAAAATAAAGTCGTGCGTATCGCCAGTAGGCTCAGAATTAATAAAGATTTTACTTGTTATTATAACTTACGAAATTTTATAAAACCTATTCCTACTCTCAAAATTAAGGTATTTGCTATTTTCTAATTGTTGAAAATTTAAATAAAATAAACACAATAAGAGCTGGCGTCACCAAATATGTCAAAGAAAGTAACAACATGTTTTTTAAAATGAATGAATGTCAGGCTCATAATGCATTACTGTGTAAAATTTTCATTGATCTTCTTTAATTAATTAACCAAAACACATTCTTACAGTTTTTAAAATGATTTTTTATATTATAATGTAGAAAAAATTATTACTAATTTTTAAACCTTTATTTCTTAATTATTTTTGGTAAATTTATATTAGGTAATGCAATGTGCAAAAATAAAAGTGAAGTAAGAATTGTTGCTGCTAAGGTACGTGCTGTTATTAAATCTATAGTAATTTAAATGTGTTCATAAATTTTTATGCTCATCTTGTAGTTACCAATTTATGTTGTAACGGATGAAGAGGACAATGAAGTCATCGATGGAGTTTATTTTCATATAGTTAAATTAATGTTTGAAAAATTAAAATGCGTTCGGTGAGAGAATCTAACTCTTGACAATTTTGTTTTTTTCTTAAATTAAATTACTAAATAAAACTAATGGTAATTCTTTTAAGATATGAAATACTTCAACCTGTAGAAAAAGTCTTCGGGACAGAACTCGAGAATGGATCCTGGAATGGTTTACTTGGAAAAATACAAAGACATGTAAGATTATATAACGAAAATAATAATTATCAAACATAATATAATTAATTTCTTTTTATTGAAAGAAGCTGACTTCAGTTTAAATTCCTTATACGTTACCTATGAAAGTTACAACGTAATGGATTTTACACTTTTTTTTGACTCAGATGAAGTTATTTTTATAGTAGCTGCTCCTAAAAAAGCTTCTAAATTAACCATAATATTTATACCTTTCACAAGTACGGTAAGTATATGAACATTTAAATCTTTTAATAAATATATTTTTATTATTTTATAATGATTATTTTAAAATTCTATAGCATTTAATTTTAATTTTTGTCCTGAGGAACATGAAAATATTAGAAATTTATTTGTTATTTGTTCATATACATGAAATCTAATGTAAATTTAATTTCAGGTTTGGTTGTTTGTTTTTGTAATTATATTTCTAACCGCAATATCACTGCATTTTTTATATTCAATGAGACACTCTTATATCCAAAGAAGCGAAAAACTATGGTTCATGAAGGAAATATTTTGGTTTCTTTTTGAAACGTTGATCCGTCAAGGTAATCATTATCAAAAATCAATATAAATGCTATTTTATATTCCACAGAGTGAAAACAAAAGAAATGTTGATTTAATTTTAATAATTTTACTTTTTATTGGTAAATAGTACTTTCTCTTCAGAACTTTTGTAAATATCACAACTTTCAGTTGGCACATTAAATTTTTTTATTCTTTTATATAGGCCATATTGTAATTATAAAGATGCTTTGATAAAATAGTCCCGATACAAAAGTTTTAAGTATACAAGTATTTACACGTAACTTGCCAGCATCGAACTTTCTAGTAGTTTTACAAAAAGTTTAAGTAAACTTTACAGTTGTTAATTTAAAACTGCATCAGGAGTATGAAAAATAAATACTAAATTCACAAGCCAACATGAAATGTATCGTAAACTAGGAAGAGCGTACTTTACATAAATGTACTTTATCTTTAGTATGGTACTTAAGTAATAGTGATTACTTATATATGTTTATGAAGCGACCTTCTCAGAAACCTCCTGTTGTATGCAATTTACACTATCAGCTAAAGAATTTGAAAAAACGCCACTATTTGCACTATTCAACGTATTTACATCATTATTGGGGTAGTGAACAAAAGCACAAATAGTCTTGTCCACGAGTACGAAAAGATTATTAGCTACTTTGTTAATTTTAATTCTGTGTTCTTAAAGAACAGCAGTGCTGCCATTTTCTGAACAGATTGTTAGAACAAAGTCCTGAAGCGCTCTATGCTTTTTACGGACCAAAGAGACGTCTACGATTGGTTTCTCAGCTTCCCCCGTGGCAACTAAAATAGATAGACATGCCATCTAGGAAAGTCCCTTAAAACTTACAAAATTTAACCTAGACATTATTTAATACGATATACCTGAAAAACAATTGAAAACGATAGATAACCAGAAAGCCTAGAAAATACTGCAACGCAGTATTGAGAGAAAAACACAAAAACCTCGCAAATAAATGAACTCTGGTGGTTGAAAATAATAGGTAAACAATGGGATCAGTTTATTATAAATGTTAAAATCAATAAATTCATTGAATGAAGCAAATTAAATTCATTCTTCCGTATGCGATTTCGAAAGAATTAAAGACAGAGATGGACTTAAAACTTATCAATTATTTCTTTCTTTATTTTCCAGTTTTTCTTCCAAATGCATTTCGCCTGTTAGCCTCATCAGTGAATATTACGATTTACATTGCTTATTCTTAAAGAATTTTTTACCAATAATTTTATAGAATTTATTGATTTTAAATCTTATTTACTATTAATTCATAATAACAAATAAGATTCCATTATTATTTTAGATATGTGACGACAAATCAGCATCACAGTATAATAATTAATAATAATTTTTCACAGGTGCTAAAATAAATCACGTCAGAAGTAGTACTACAAGAATTATCATTGGTACATGGTTATTAATAACAGTAGTTCTTATATCAGGATATTGTGGAGTTTTGTTTTCTTACATGACTCATACTGTGTACGAAACTGTGCCTACAACTATTCAAGAACTTGCAACTTCTGTGAGGAAAGGAGAATATTCCTGTGGAATTATGGCTGATACTACCGTTGATAAGTATCTTTTGGTAATACTATTGTCTAATTATATTTATAAATTTTGAAATCGGTATTTACACAAAATTTCGATTAATGTTATTGAATCTAATAAAGCATAAATCTAACTAAAATTTTCAGACAAAAAACGTCCTTTTGTAATCTATTTCATATGCACAAATTGAGAATAAAAAATATTTGAGAAACTCGACACAAACCATACAATATTTTCAATATGAAAATTGTTCTGTAGGTTTAAATGTATTAGATGAATGCTTTAAACGCTATATCAAATAAAATTTTGAACGAAATACCATGAAGTTTTTTCAAATTTAAGTATTGAATATATACGGTTATTCAGCTTTGCGTGTACCAACGTAGGTTGCACGAAGACATATCTGAATCTTATAGCAGCATCGGATTGGGAACGCCATTATCATGCAGTAGATAGCGTTGTACGGCCGTGAGACCGTTGTCACATTATTTCAGGATACTGTGAGTTGTAAACCGCCCACGTCGGTAGTAGGATTGCTGAGTTAACAAACGTGGAGTAGACTAATATGCACCTCTCTTACGGAGCAGCAGGCTACAAGGACGAACGGCTGTGCGACTGTACCAAGAAAGGTGCCAAATGAGAAGAGTACCAAGCAACCAAGTATTTGCACTAATGCATCAAAGTTTATGTGACACTAGTTCTTTCCAGAAACCTGCAAGTTGTCACGAGCAGCCACCCACGATGTCAAAGATAATGTTATTGCATTCTGTTAAGTCGTGCCAGAATATAACCAGTTGCCCATCGTCTTCGTCTGTGCCAACTAATCGTATGAAGGATTTTGCACGAAAACCAATTTCATTCATTTCATAAGCAGTGTATTTAGACATTAAAGCTTGACGATTGCATTGCATTGCACTGAGGAGCGCATTGCACTTGTACAATGGTACCTGCAGAATTTCTGGAACTGCTTATGTAGCAGAACTCGAATTTCCTGCTTTTGTGCTGTTCACAGACAAAGCTTGTTTCCCACAGAGAGGTGGCTACAAAGTACGTAATGCGTATGCATGCGTAATGGACAACTCTCTTACCATATAAACACATGCAGCACAGAACTGGTTTGCTGTGAATGTTTCCACCGGCACTGTCGAAGACCACTTAATTAGAATATACTTCTTGTCTAATCGTGAGTTATCACATATTTTTTGTGGATGTATTATATAATTATGTAATATAATTATTTTAATAAAGGTACTACACTAACAACAGACTTCTCAGTCACTGCATCATGCAATATAATTAGAGAACAATGTGGCCATGACCCATTTTAGCAGTAACGTTTGACATCTTTAAACATGAAATTTGGTCAGCAGTAGACAGAACGTGATGGTCACGTTCAGTCACCTGCAAAATCGCCAAATTCAACAGTATTTTTGAGGGGTTACATCAAAGGACTGATGTACAACACCTCTATTGAGTGTTAGAAGAACCTCATATCATGCACATCAATAGCTACTTGGGCAATCTGAGACACGTCAGAAATATTACGAAATGTACATGATTCCTTGTGCCGACAATCAAAATTGCGTATTACATAGTCATTTATGTGTTACAGTCTAGTATTGGAACTTTCAACACCTGTAACCTCAAATCATTTCACAATTGTTTGTTAGTAATAAAAAGCATTTCGTTCTCTTATGAACGAAATGCTTTTTATTACTGCTCTTTCATTTCTTGCTTTCTCATGTACAATAGCAGATGAAGAGGGTGTTCTCGACTCGGAATGGCTACATAATTCCAATTCCTTTGCGACACCTACACCCCACCAGTGAAGCATATATCCTGTACACACTTGGTTGAATCACTATGTATTCCATATTTACAACTATTAAAACCTTTTTTCTTAGAAGAAGTAATTAAAATAATTATCTTGAATGCTTCATGCATGTTCCGTCTGGATGTATAATACATAGTACAATAAATTATAGTAAATATAATATCTAGCAAACATATTCTGAGATTTAAAAAATACTAAATTTTTACATTTACAATACTTTTGAAATTTAAAGAAAAATTACGTAAAAATAATTTAAGTAAATTTTTTAAAATTATAAAGGGTGAGAATTTTCAGACCATAAACTTTCTTATGCTAAAATTCTTTAAATGATATTCACAAGTTATAAATAACTTTGCTGTTTTTCAGAATTATGTAACGAATATCGAATATTTTCAGGATACGAAAGAAGAATCGGTAAAAACTATAGCAGATTATATCAGAAAAAATCCGGATAAGTGTTACTCTGATATAGATTCCGCCATGCAACATGTATTAGACACAAAGTATGCTTATTTCGCACCTAAAAGTATATTGGAATCGTTGGCAAGAATAAGAGGAGAAGATCGATTTGCATTTTCTAAAGATTCTTTAGTCAACTTTATGGTAGCATATCCCATGAAGAAACGGTTCGAACTTAGAAATGAATTAAATAAAATGTAAGTTCAAAAAAATTTATGATTTATGAATTTATTTATATTTTCAATTTCCGAACAATTAAGTTATGTAAATACTGTATACACATTTATAACAATTTGATGGAACACATTTTTTCGAACATTTCAACTGACAATATATATTAGAAAAATTTTCTAATATATGTTGTAAATTTCTGCTTTTAAATACAACTTGCTTCGATTCGTAAACGAATTTATTTGAGAATTTCAAATAAAAATTATAATTTATATATTTTTACAGTAAAAACGATGAATACTTTATCGTTGTTATAGCATTACTAAAAAGTAAAATCTGCCTTGCAGCTTACGTCGTTTGTACTCCTTTCTCGTTTCATTTGTTCTCAAGATAAACTATACATAACAAGCAATTATTTATTGTTACACTGTCACAATGCCAGGCTACTATTTATAAAAATACTTTATATTTATTTAATTTAAATTATATGCTCTCCACGACAAATTTATATTGTCTTGCTCGTGTATATCATAATTTTCCTGTTTAGCATTAGAGTAATGCCAGTCGTCTATCTAACTTCTTTCAGGAAAAATAAATTAAAATGAAGTGATGTCCGGTTTGTAATTGAGGTTATTGTATAGTTTATCAAGGCCTTAGACTCATATGTTTTCCATATCTTGCTTAGGTTTTTATTTACTTAATTCTGTTTTTGAGGGATAAAACAGATTGCCAAAAAGACAGACAACATTGGGAATTTATAAGTCTGCAATTTTTTCAAATTGTAGCCCAACAAAAGTTTCAATAATTCGTGTACATCTATCTGTCTAATTCTGAGTCAGGATTATTAAACGTAGATTTTACGTTTATTTCGAAATTCACCCTCACACACTTTAGTTGAAAAAGCAATTTTTATTTAAATTACATAAGAATTTTTCAGCTTTTCTTAATCAAAATAAAACATGATAGAATATTTAGAATTTAGCACAGAAAAAATCCTTTCCAATCGAATAGATTTAACACCACTTTGGTTTGGAAGTTCCATAAGTAAGCATTTCAATTTTATAGTTATGTGAGTTTCTTCGCTCATTCGCCATATGGGCTTCACTCACTTCTTACTAATAGAGACTATTAATAAAAATTTCGTTACGATTTAACCACCGGCCAAAGTCAACTCTTACTCCATTTTCTTTCTTCTTTCAACCATGCACTGCCCAATTTTTCCAAATCTGCTCGTTTGCTCGTTTTTTCGGCCCAACCCCTACTTCCCCTTTTGTTTGCTTTCTGCTCCCGGGCCAATCACCTTCACATTGTTTACTCGATCAAAGTTTCCTGATATTTTGTAGTTATTTGCTACTGTTGTTTCTGTTTTTTCGTAACAGAAAAATTGTTGTAATGACTTCAATCGTTTTAAGTATGGCTTAGGTTTGTAATATGAAGAAACGGTTCGAACTTAGAAATGAATTAAATAAAATGTAAGTTCAAAAAAATTTATGATTTATGAATTTATTTATATTTTCAATTTCCGAACAATTAAGTTATGTAAATACTGTATACACATTTATAACAATTTGATGGAACACATTTTTTCGAACATTTCAACTGACAATATATATTAGAAAAATTTTCTAATATATGTTGTAAATTTCTGCTTTTAAATACAACTTGCTTCGATTCGTAAACGAATTTATTTGAGAATTTCAAATAAAAATTATAATTTATATATTTTTACAGTAAAAACGATGAATACTTTATCGTTGTTATAGCATTACTAAAAAGTAAAATCTGCCTTGCAGCTTACGTCGTTTGTACTCCTTTCTCGTTTCATTTGTTCTCAAGATAAACTATACATAACAAGCAATTATTTATTGTGACATCGTCACAATGCTGGGCTGCAATTTTTAATCGTGTTTTAATTTAAAATATATGCTCTCTACTTCAGATTAGTAGTGTCATGCCAGTAAGCTATTTAACCCCTTTCATGAGAAAATTTTTGAATTGAAATAATGTGACTTCAATTTGCACCNTTCAAATAAAAATTATAATTTATATATTTTTACAGTAAAAACGATGAATACTTTATCGTTGTTATAGCATTACTAAAAAGTGAAATCTGCCTTGCAGCTTACGTCGTTTGTACTCCTTTCTCGTTTCATTTGTTCTCAAGATAAACTATACATAACAAGCAATTATTTATTGTTACACTGTCACAATGCCAGGCTACTATTTATAAAAATACTTTATATTTATTTAATTTAAATTATATGCTCTCCACGACAAATTTATATTGTCTTGCTCGTGTATATCATAATTTTCCTGTTTAGCATTAGAGTAATGCCAGTCGTCTATCTAACTTCTTTCAGGAAAAATAAATTAAAATGAAGTGATGTCCGGTTTGTAATTGAGGTTATTGTATAGTTTATCAAGGCCTTAGACTCATATGTTTTCCATATCTTGCTTAGGTTTTTATTTACTTAATTCTGTTTTTGAGGGATAAAACAGATTGCCAGAAAGACAGACGACATTGGGAATTTATAAGTCTGCAATTTTTTCAAATTGTAGCCCAACAAAAGTTTCAATAATTCGTGTACATCTATCTGTCTAATTCTGAGTCAGGATTATTAAACGTAGATTTTACGTTTATTTCGAAATTCACCCTCACACACTTTAGTTGAAAAAGCAATTTTTATTTAAATTACATAAGAATTTTTCAGCTTTTCTTAATCAAAATAAAACATGATAGAATATTTAGAATTTAGCACAGAAAAAATCCTTTCCAATCGAATAGATTTAACACCACTTTGGTTTGGAAGTTCCATAAGTAAGCATTTCAATTTTATAGTTATGTGAGTTTCTTCGCTCATTCGCCATATGGGCTTCACTCACTTCTTACTAATAGAGACTATTAATAAAAATTTCGTTACGATTTAACCACCGGCCAAAGTCAACTCTTACTCCATTTTCTTTCTTCTTTCAACCATGCACTGCCCAATTTTTCCAAATCTGCTCGTTTGCTCGTTTTTTCGGCCCAACCCCTACTTCCCCTTTTGTTTGCTTTCTGTTTCCGGGCCAATCACCTTCACATTGTTTACTCGATCAAAGTTTCCTGATATTTTGTAGTTATTTGCTACTGTTGTTTCTGTTTTTTCGTAACAGAAAAATTGTTGTAATGACTTCAATCGTTTTAAGTATGGCTTAGGTTTGTAATTTTCGAAAACTCATTAAATTTTTTTGTTTTCATTTATCAAAAGTATAAATTTAAAAAAAATCGTCGGTGACTGACAAGGGAACTGTCAGAGTGTCTTCTAATAAATTTTAACAAAATTTAGTTAATAACTACGTTAAAAGTATACAAACTCTATTTTAAATTTGTAATATTCACTAAAAGTGTTAATCAGGATTAATAGCAATCAAATGTCGTACTATTTCATATTAGTTTCTTTTACAGAACTATATACAAGAGTTACAATTACATCGACCATGGAAACAGTGGTCAGAGCACGTGTGAGGTGAGCGACTGGACAGAAACACATCCACCTAAAAAGTGGAGTTAGCCATGGTCTGA